TGTGCAAGAGAGAAAGCTGTTGGGGAAAACGGCACAAGGTAAGTAGTTAGGGGAGCGGGAGCGAGCTACTGGGAAAAGAATACTCTGGAGAAACAGAGGGAGGGGGAGGGCACGCTTCCTGCATGCTAATTAATAATTGACGTATTCGTCAGCAAATCAGCATGCCCCTCTCGCACAGCGTGACGATGGAGGCGTAACGCCCGCTGGCCGCGCTTTCGAGTATTTTCTTCCAATCTTGCCCCGGGTTGCTCAGACTGAGCTGGGACGCCATTTTGGTTAGGGTGTCCGGGTCCGCCTTGGGGTTCTCGAAGGCGTTGCGGATCTCCTTGGCGGTGTAGTTCACACAGGGCGCCAGGCACTGCGTCGCATTGCGGATGGCGAAGAACTCCAACACATCCGGCGCTTGCGTCGGGCCGTTGTCCCCGCCGGCCGGCGACGAGGTCGTGGAGCTGGACGGGCGCCCGGAGGCGGTGGGGGCGGCGGAGGCGGGCGTGGGGGCGCCGTCCAGCCCCAGGGCGACGCAGCACGCGCGGCACAGCCGCCCCGACATGCCCGACACGGTGCACGGCACGGCGCACGGCGAGGCCAGGCCACGTTCCCGGGGGCAGCTCGCCAGCAGCGCGGAGCCCACCTTGCCCTGCTGTGAGAGCAAGCAGGCCGTTTAGAGTGGCCGCCCCGAGGGGCTCGGGAGACCTGTCGACATCTCACCTGTTCCACCGCTGCCGGGGCGCCGCCGTCGACGAGCGCCAGGACGGCGACGGCGAGCACCGCCACGGGTCTCGTTCTGCTCGCAAGGCTCATGTTGACGCCTGGCTCGAGAGTGACGGGTCTCAGGCGCGTAGAGCGGCATATAAGAGGTTAGGCCGCCGCGGCACGCCCTCGGGCACGCCCCACCGCGAGGGCCTTACCCCGCCGGATATTGTGAGTCCTTGACACGGTGGAGGCGAGCAACGCTTTTAACGACTCTGTGGCCGAACGACCACTGGGGCATTGCAGCGCCATTTCGCGGTCAGCGCTTTCTCGTCAGCCTATTGACTCTGGTCTCGGGCGCAAGGAGAGATGCACATGCACAGGACGGATACAGAAGAGTGGAAACGTTTTATTTTCATTAATAACGAACGAGAAAATGATCATGAATGACGTAAATGGGGAGATCCTGATTTTTATTATACATTTGGTCGCAGGAACTGCTGTTGAGGGTTGAGGTCAGCGTTGGCTGAGCGCTGGATTTGCAGGAATTCCTCGGGGACGCGAAAAGACAACAGGCGCGGGTCATGGGCAACGCAACGACCCCTCTTGCACGTGCCCAAGAGACAGCACAGGACCCACCTCGAGCATCGCGCGAGTCAGCGTTTGGATAGAACGAATGAGATGAAATTGATGGTGCTGCTGGGCCAAAGTTGGTAGAGGAAAGGCTTCAACAGGCACCCCAACGCCGCAAGCACGGCGGACGCACAGGCGAGTTGGCTGAGACGATGCACGATGTACAATCTGCAAGCAAATTCACCGCCATTGCAGTTTGGGGCAGAGGAACTGTATGGCGGTCGTGGTCTTTTTCTGATTTCCCAAGGGGAAGATGATAGTTTCTCATGAGGACCGGGTCGAAACCTATTATAGTCCCATACTGATACACTGATATATAAAGTGTGTAACTGACACACACTTTAAAGTGTTTAACACCGTGTGGCACACCTCTATGTGTGCAACACGAGCTTTGAATAGTTGGAAGTGTTCAACAGGCGTGTTGCACACTTTTTAGTGTTTAACTTGAGCGTTGAGCTATAGCGCTCGACGGTCAGGTTGAACATTTAAAAGTGTGCAACACACCTGTTGAACACTTCCATCTATTCAAAACTGGTGTTGCACACATAGAAGTGTGCCACACGGTGTTAAACACTTTAAAGTGTGTGTCAGTTGCACACTTTATATATCAGTGTAGAAATATTTTTGCTCTAGGCGCTGAAAACGAGCGAAGTAGCTTACCCATGGCGCGGCCCTGTGTTGACCTCCTCCTTCATGACGAACCGCTTGAAGCCCACCGCCGAAGAGCGCATGTAAGCGACCCAGTCAATGGCGGTCACGTCAAACGGGAAGAGGATACGGTCGCGGGCAGCGAGCTTGGACCAAAGGCGTCGCACGTTGCCGTCAGAGAAGTTCCATTCGTTGGTGCAGAACGGCGAGAGCGTGGTAATAAGGTTTTTGGACCGCTTCTGCGTTTTTAAAAGTCTGCGAGAGATCACATTCTAAAATTTACTCTAAAAAGGGAACCCCGCCAAGAGTAAATTTCCGATTATCATTCTACTTTGAGAAATTGTAGGTCAAAAGGGGTCATCGAAGGACAATTCAATTTTTTTTGCTTAAATTCATATTTAGGGGTCATTTTGGGTATTCGTTCCAAAAGCTGCTATTTCAACTATTTTTTAAAATTTTCAACATTCCTTTCCTACAAGTAACTCAACAAATTGCGCCACTTTAAAAAAAATCGTCCGTTTTGCTCTATTGTATTGTAGGCCGTTTAGGCGCTACCGCCACGTTTAGGAGGGGAAATGTACGGGAATCACTAGGGCATAAGAGCAGCGGTTGTAAAATGCAGTCCCACAAAAAATGTTACAAAGCAAAAGTTGTAGAGAAATGTAAGCTCTTTAACTTTTGTTTTACGCCTAACTATCCAACGGGTACATATCCGTGAAGCCCCCGGAGCGAGGGGGCAGTAACTCCGGGAATCATGTGTACACCTGTCTGGGAATCATCAGGATAAAAATTGATCAAAATCAATAGAAATCGCTTAGAATAAGCGGGAAACTAGAGAAATAAGTACAAATCAGTCGAAATAAGGGTTTTATACCACTAAAACCCCCCGAAAAACCTATGTAATAATTATAAGCGGACGGGAATCACCGGGAATCAAGAATTTCGGGAATCATGTGTACATTTCAAAAGGGAGTTATTGCCCCCTCGCCCCGGAGTTTTATTGACGAGGGGGTTGGTGGCGGTGGCGGGCGCTATATGTTGTTTT